TTTCTCTATCTTAAAAAGGAAAAATTCTGAATGCAAAACTCTCTATCTTATCCAAAAATTGCTTCAAACTCGATCCCTTTGGATAATTTTCTGTTGCAAAACAAGTCTTCTTAATAATTTGGACATGTTAAACACAAATCCGTCAAAATATTTAAAATCGGTCTAATAGTTTTTGAGATATCGCTCATTATGATACTAATTAAATCAATTTTATTGTCATGTTTAACCATATAACATTGATTTTGGACCAAAACATTATAATCTGTTGCTTTTTCAACAATTTGGTTTCTTTTCCTCCATTAAATTGTATAAAATATAATATTTATTGATTTTTAATTCAAATAAAAATTTTATGTTTCCATGAAAACTCTCTATCTTGTTGGTTGAATGAACATTTTCGTAGAAAAATAAGCTCTATCTGATATAAATTTGTGAATAATTTTGTAAATAATGCAAAAATTAAAATTCTTTTTATATAATGGTTTAGAATATGGTCGTAAAAATATATTGTAAAAGAAAAAATTAAAAAATCTTCACGAACTAGCGAAATAAACAGTTTTTTTGCTCTCCTGAAAACTTGTATTATTTTAGATAGAGACTATTGAATATAGTCCCTCGATATGTTTATATATTTTTTAATAGAATACCAGCAATTATTAATTAATAACGTGAAAAATTTGTAATGAACGTGATTATTTTCCAAATAACAAGTCTAACATTTGCTCTATATAAAGAAACAATTTTATTATCTATTAGTTATTCTCTATGTATAGCTTTTAATTTTATTATTAAAACGAAAATACTGTTGCAAATAAATAATATTGAGAAGTTTAATTTTTTAAAATACTTTGCTTACTTAACTGACATTTATAGTTCGGAGATGGGGAACTGATGAAAACAATTTTCTGGCAACTCTTATCGCCTTGCAAATGTCATACGTAGAATATATTTTTTTGATTTGCTTTTTATTTGTAATCAAATTTTAAAGCAGACAGACATAGATTGCAAACAGAACGACAGCAACAACAAAGTTTAAATAACTTTTGCTTTTAGTTAAAAATATTCTATTAAAATATAAAGTTTACTTTAAATAAATCAAATACCACAATGGATGAGTTTAGCAGCATTTTGGAAATGACCAGGGATCAATCGACCCAAAAAGAACAAGATGAAGTAAATGGATAATAAATATACTTTTTAGCTTTTTACTAATCTGAAAATTTGTTTTTATCTTATTTGCTAATCTAGATATTACTCCAACCATTTGCCTATATACAACAAATTCCTGGCAAACAATTTCGTTCTCAACTCTCGTTGGCCTTCAACTATTGGCTACACATACCCGATGAAAAGCTTCAGTTAATAGGAGAAATTGTACAAATGCTGCACAACTCCAGTTTACTGTAAGTTATAATTGTTCAATTGAAGAGCATGTTTTTGTATGTTTGTTTGTAGTATAGTATGTGTGTATGTGGCTTAAGTTACTTTTGAATAGATTTGCTGTGCCTCAAAAAGATAGGCAGACGATGGCCAACGACATTAATTGAACATCATTGAAATGTTTTCAATTTATGTTTATTTAATTTGCGAACAATTTAATTGAGAAAGAATGAATCATCGGTTTATATATTTAAATTTCTTTAGAATTTCAAAATCGATATGTACACAATTATTTAAATATTCTTAACACAATAATTAATTATTATTATACATATTGTACGTAAATAAGTGTTTTACCCGATAGGGAGGAGATTAGGGTACATTTGCACTTTCAATTGTGCTGAAGAATAGATCTAAAGTTAGAACATTTTTTGAGAACTATTTGTTTATATTATTTTTATTGCTTGTTTAAGAATATTAATGGGGTGTTCAAGGAAACGTTTTAATTTTGCATGAAGAAAAAAAATTCATAATACAAATATTTATGTGGATCAAAACTTAATTCTATAGAAAAGAATTGTTTATGGAAAGTAGCTTTTAATGTAAAACGAGAATCTAATGAAGTATGCGTGTTTACGGTTCATCACATTTGCTGCTATCTTTGCCAACTGTACTGTTGGTACATGTTTGTTTATGCAAGAATGAAAGAAAAATAATTTACTGTAAAGTAAACAAACAATTAGATATTTTTTCTAACTAAAATTAAAGCACGTTCATATCCAAGCAAATTTCATACAATTTCAATTGTTCTTATTACGAAATTTTACATTTTTTGTTTGTTCGATAACGAGAAGAATGGTTTTGCATTTAGATATACATTTGTATATGTAAATGAGACTATGATGGAATTTTAAAAACCTATAAAGAATTGTTCTAAAACGATATAATTCTATTGTAATTTTCTTAAGCATATAAAAAGAGTCAAAATAATAAAATACGGAAACAGAAAATGGGAGAATTTAATTGGTTAAATTTGTCTTTAAAATTTATCTATGTATCTATCTATCTATCTATCTATCTATCTATCTTTCTATCTATCTATCTATCTATCTATCTATCTATCTATCTATCTATCTATCTATCTATCTATCTATCTATCTATCTATCTATCTTTCTATCTATCTATCTATCTATCTATCTATCTATCTATCTATCTATCTATCTATCTATCTATCTATCTATCTATCTATCTATCTATCTATCTATCTATCTGTCTATCTATCTATCTATCTATCTATCTATCTATCTATCTATCTATCTATCTATCTATCTATCTATCTATCTATCTATCTATCTATCTATCTATATATCTATCTATCTATCTATCTATCTATCTATCTATCTATCTATCTATCTATCTATCTATCTATCCATCTATCTTTCCATCTGTCTATCTGTCAATCTATCTATCTATCTATCTATCTATCTATCTATCTATCTATCTATCTATCTATCTATCTATCTATCTATCTATCTATCTATCTATCTATCTATCTATCTATCTATCTATCTATCTATCTATCTATCTATTTACCTATCTATCTATTTACCTATCTATTTATCTACCTATCTATCTATCTATCTATCTATCTATCTATCTATCTATCTATCTATCTATTCTATCTATCTATCTATCTATCTATCTATCTATCTATCTATCTATCTATCTATCTATCTATCTATATATCTATCTATCTATCTATCTATCTATCTATCTATCTATCTATCTATCTATCTATCTATCTATCTGTCTATCTATCTATCTATCTATCTATCTATCTATCTATCTATCTATCTATCTATCTATCTATCTATCTATCTATCTATCTATCTATCTATCTATCTATCTATCTATCTATCTATCTATCTATCTATCTATCTATCTATCTATCTATCTATCTATCTATCTATCTATCAATCTATCTATCTATCTATCTATCTATCTATCTATCTATCTATCTATCTATCCATCTTAAACGTCAATTATTGAGTTTGTTCCACTTACATTATAAATTAAAATTTTCATTCAAAATTCCATAATTTATAAAAAAATAAAGTTTTGTTAAAAAAAGTAAAAATTGCATTTAAAAAAATTAAAATATATGAATCCCATTCTTTATGTTTCACACAAAGCGAAACAACATTTTAAATTAATAATCAGATATTTCACTAAAAACTCTGTTCATACTGGATCCATAGAAACATGTTTTTTTTATTGAATTTTTAATTTTGTATTCACTAATTTTTGCACCATTTTTTATTTAAAAAGTTTAGTTTTTATGAGAATTATTTTGCACATGAAACTCCTTTGTGATAACTTTGGAATCACATTAATGTTGTTGTTTACTAACACTAATATTTACAGCATTGATGATATTGAAGACAATTCAATACTTCGCAGAGGTGTACCAGTGGCTCATTCAATATACGGTGTGGCTAGCACAATAAATGCAGCAAATTATGTTTTATTTTTGGCCTTGGAAAAAGTACAACAATTGGGACATCCAGATGTAGGTTATAAGAAAATTTAGAAAATGTTTACTATTTAATTCAATCATAATCTATCTTAACAAAAAGGCTACCAAAGTTTATACCGAACAATTGCTAGAATTACATCGTGGCCAGGGTATGGAGATATATTGGCGTGATAGTTTTACTTGCCCCTCGGAAACTGAATACAAACTGATGACCGTACGTAAAACGGGTGGTCTATTCATGTTGGCCATACGTCTAATGCAATTGTTTAGTGAAAATAAAGAAGATTTTTCGAAATTAACCGCCATTTTGGGTTTATACTTTCAAATACGTGATGATTATTGTAATCTTAGTTTAAAAGAAGTGAGTATTTAAAAAGTTGGAATAAATAAATTTTAACAATTTCTTTTGAACAGTATTCGGAAAATAAAAGTTTTGCAGAAGATTTGACAGAAGGAAAATTTGGTTTTCCCGTTATACATGCGGTACGCACTCAAACACATGATAAACAAGTTTTACGTAAGTTTTTAATGAATAAAGTATTGTTTTTTTAATTAACATTTTCTTATTTTATAGATATTTTGAGACAAAGACCTCGTGATGTCGAAGTAAAAAAATATTGTATAAGTTTGTTAGAAAAATTAGGAAGTTTTCAATATACACGTGAAGTTTTAGAATCCTTAGATAAAGAAGCCAGAGCAGAGGTAATATTGTTAAATAAAATTAGACATTTTCGCCTTCTAATACATTTATTTACTTTCAATCAGGTTAATCGTTTGGGTGGCAATCCTTATATGGATATTTTACTAAATAAACTCTTAACCTGGCGTTTAGCGGATAATGAACAAACCAACAATCATTGCAATTAACAACCAAAGAGGCAAAGAAGGGAATGTTAAACATGTTAATTCATAACAACAACAACTAGTTCACCTTTTTTGCTGCAACTTAATTAGATTTTAAGCTCTTTAAAGCCTCCACAACAGCTTTAATACTATTTCAAACTTTGTTATTAATTTTGTATTTAATGTATTTATTATTAATTAATTCAATTTGTTTATACATAATATCGTATTTATATGCAAAACTTATAATTTGTATTAGTAGTATTCAATTGAAAAGGAAAACAAAGAAGTTTCTGAATCTCCTTTATATTAAACTGTTCTTTAAAAGAAAACTAAAGAAAAAAGAAACACTATTTTAAACAAAAAACACACAATATGCTGCAATAATGTAAACACCACCACCTCACGAAAAATAAAATTAAATAGCTTAATTAAATTAAAAAA